TTCTTACCCCCCCCCCCCCTCCCTCCCTCCCTCCGTACATATATTTTTTACAGTTTAAACAGATTGAAGTTATATATTTCAGATTCTGTCTTAAGATTGGTGAAAATCGTTAATCTCCCTGTGGTTCCCACTCCATAAGTCTGTATTTATTAATAAACGTGCCAAGTTTTCTGTAGAAACTGAACGTGAAATTTTCTCCAAATTGACAACTTAAATTGTTGGGGCGTCCAGACATGTCAGAACTCTAACCACCAAATCTTCTCTATAGCTGTGGTGCATGTAGGCATGTCAGATAGCCCCGTTGCCAAGAAGCTCAAAATCGAGGATCCCGAGTAAGTGTTTATTTCTACGTGGGCGTTAGTTTTCGTTGCTGGAAATCACCGACGTGTGCCGCCGCTTACGCTGCTCTGTCTAAAATTTGTAGCCAATAGCTACTGACTATGATTTATAATATATTTGATCTTTCGAGTGTAAAAATGATATTTAGTAACTTTCTTGCTTTTAATGGATTTGCAAGTACTCTTGTCTGTTATATTTACATCAAGATCAGAGTAATCTCTGATCTGGTTTGTCTCTTAACAGTTCCGCATCATCACTCAGCTCTTCAGAATATTCTGCCCAGCAAACCCATTAAACGAATATTTTCAGAGATACTAACGGTGAGACAGTAACTACTAACGGGACAATAGACGGTACGTCATTAATCGTTTATTGATTTGTTTATTAACCAAATTTAGACAATTAATTTGAAAATCACCAAATTTATGAGTCGATTTAGGAACAATTATAATTTTTTACTGTTAATTTTTCAATGTAGACACTGAACAACTACAAGCAGGTTACAAATTGTTGAGGATTCGTTTTTTGACCCGGTCAAATGTTTAAAATCTCTCAAGTATATAAAAATGAGTTGTGTAAAACGTTGTGAGATTGCATGTGAAAAAGTGTAAAGAGTACCAGTATATCTACTATAGTCTAAGAAATGTCCTACACATGATAATAATATTGCAGCTACTGTCAGTGTAACAATCGTCACTGCTCGATCCGACCAATGTTTTTAAAATCCGCAACTATTTGTTAACACCAGCCTCCGCCGTTTATGGAAAGTTCTGGAATAAACTTTATTTACTAACTAATAGTAACAGTTGGTATTACAAAATAAGTGTCATAAGATGTGGAGTGTGGCCGGGTGACAACTAGTAACTCAACCAGAAAAATGAACTTGAATTTTTTTTTATTAAATACTTTTCAAACTTTACAGAGTACAGCAATTACAACGTATGAAATAAACTCTAATAAATTATTGCCCCCGTCTGTAAAATCTGACGGGAGACCAAACACGGTACTGCACAGTAAAACGTGCCCGCAATTATATGGCCCCGATAATCGATATATATATATATATTTTGTTGCTGTACTCCTACACATTAAAATTCGGTGTTGATATATATATGTGGACACGTTCATTTGAGTTTGAGGATATTGGTAAATATAAGTGACCCTATTAAAAGGCACAGTGTAGTTGACTTTGTCACACTATGAAATTACATAAACCCTTGATGGTTAGGATAATCGTCTCATCCTCTAGGCTAACTTTGTCACATAACGATATCTTAATCAGGTTATAAGATATCGCTTAAATACGGCCGGCACGGAAATGGTTACATTGTCACACTATAAACATGTGACGGAGTAAATATGGACCCCTTGCTGCCGTTTTTGACCAAATTTTTGAGTGTCCAGTTGATTGGATGGGTACATATGACCATTACCTACATATTTGACGACTTTTTTCGTTAAATGGTGCACTCAGGTTTACTCTGTCACACATTTAAGAAAATATGTGAAGAATGTTTAGGGCACCCTGATAAGCAATGCTGAGTAGTGTAGGTTTATTTGATGGCCTGAAAGTGCTGGGAATTGTTATTATATCATATAGCCGTTAGGAATTAAAACACAGAAGGCACAACCAAGTTTACTTTGTCACATAATCTTAATGATATCTGAACATGTGTGAAATTGAAAAAATAATGATATACCAGCTTAAACCCTTTATATTACGTACTATGGATCAAACAACACTGCTAGTACCATGCACCAGTCACATGAATCATTATCAGGTGGTAATATGTTAACAGTGTCACAATTAAACTACCGCAACATGGTCAAAAATAGGGTAATTTCGTCACAAACAAATTATTACTACTCTGTTAGCTCCTTGCTGGCAAAATAACTAGTTTATCGAAAATTTTTTGATGATTAAGTTACATAGTATTCTAATAGAGTTATAGATCTACAAAAAAGGGGCAAGACATGTTTACTTTGTCACATCAGTTATTATAAGAGTTAGGTAATCGTCATCACATTAACATATATTTTTCGTAGTTTGGATTGATTTATATAGGCAATAAAGCATCCTATGCCAATTTTAACACACTATCTTGATATTGTTGGGGCAGGGAAAGTTAATTTTGTCACATTTTTAGTGACTTTGACAAATTTAACCTAAAATTGTTAAACTTAAGAATGTTGAATTCTGATAGAGGTATAGAATATAGATCTTCAAAATAGGGGCAAGACATGTTCACTTTGTCACATCAGTTATTATAAGAGTTATTATAAGAGACTATTTCATTCTATAATCATTGTTTTTAACCTATTTATGATTTCGTATACTTTTTTGTGACAATGTTAACATCAACTGATCTTAACTTGCATCAACTACATTGTCATCATATAAAGTTTTCCCGCCTTTCAAACCAAAATCAAATATAAATAATTTGCCCAAAATTTAAAATTTCATATATTTTGACAGAATTAACCTCATTTCCCAATAACCAAGTGCCTGTATTAGCTTACTATTCAAAACAATATATTTTAGGGCTATGATTGGTAGAGCAACCATCAAATAATGAGTTGAAAGGGTTTTTAGGACACCTCACAGTAGAATAGAGGTATGGTATTCTGAGTGTGACAAAGTTACCCAAATATTGCCTTGTAACCGTTCGATCCGTGCCCATTAACCAATGTTGTATCATAATTGTAAGATTGACCTAATTTACTATATTTCAGACCAAGGAATGATAATTAGACAACTGCAGTTAACTAAGTCACACAAAATGTGACATTTGAAACATTATAGTGCCTAACAACAATAGATTTTCTTTCTGAGCGGTGCATATGGGAGTATGGGTTACGTGGCTTATGTTCAGAACTTCTGAACGTGCTAGGTTAATAGATGTCAAAATTAGGCCACTATCGTCGAAAACGCTATTATTTTTGTTTACCAATATCCTCAAACTCAAATGAACGTGTCCATGTAACAATGATTCGGCTGAACCAACACACAGCAAGAGCCACATTAACGTTGAGGCCGTCAGGCAAACATGATCTTTTCACTGTAAAACTTGATGGAAATGAAGAACCTTCATATTATATAAATTTCGCCTAAAGTTAATTCAAATTATCCATGATCCTATTTGAACGTCGTCATAGGAGTTATTTTGGAATTTGATCTCATTTCTCCAACTTCATCAACAGAACCATTTTCCTCTCACCTCGATCCTACCCTCTAATCAGGGTCGTCTTTAAGACTGGGATTGTTTAAATTATTTGGGGGTCTCCACTATAATAGCTCACAAGATGTCTCAGTATATGGAGCTTTAATGGTTGAAATCCCTGAATCCTGATGCGCTCCCTCGTGGTTTTAGCCCAGGAACAGAAAGAAGAGAGTCTTCACTTTCCTCTTCCTTATTTCTAGTCCATTTAGATTCTAATTATTGCATCGTAATATAGACAGACCCAATAACCTGTTTCCCGCCTTTTTAGCTGATCTTCCTAAGCTATGTATCAAGAGATCGGCTAAGAATTTGCTGGTTATATCTTTTTATGATATCTTTTACAATGTCATAGAATCGGGGACACTTTCATGTGAATGTGAAGTTTCACGACTTCTGAACTTATGCCAACCTCATCATTAGATAAAGTCCTTTTTACAAGCAGCGGTATTATTTACCAATTTAGGTGACCAATTTAATACGTTGTGCACCTAAAATAGCTCGTAAATACTAACATAGTCATAAGATCGTTGGTGAAGGGCCTCTAGCGCGGTTACAACATGCATGTGGTAACCCCGGCAATCTATACACTCCTCTGGATATCTCCCCTTCTCTTTTGATCAGCAGGTATGCCGTACCACTGTAGTATTATAAATGTAATTTGTTTATTTAAGGACGCACCGGAAATTATGCAAATCAAACGAGTGAAAGAGGTCATCATATGCAAATCTTTAACTCGCTTGCGGCGATTTCCCTGTCCCCCTTATGTACGCAAAAATATTTAGGTATTTATTGCTTGGTGTTTGACATGCCACTCTTGTTCTGTCACCCCTTCTCACCGTTCTTTGTCTCCCCCGTGTGAACATCATATAATTTGTACATATTATTTAAATTTTCGTAGCATACCCCCTTCTGCTCCATGCGTTATCTTTTTCGGACTAAATTTTGGGTACATATAATTGAATTTCAGTGCTGTGTATTTGATCCTGTGGAGGATGATTATTTACAGTTCACCGTGAGGGGGACGAATCGGAGGGAGCCAACCAAAAATGTGTGAAAATGCTATACAATATATACTTCATGGATCACGATCCGCAGCTTTCTCCGCCAGAATATTTGCTAATTTGTCTTCAATAACATTCATTTTTGTTCCGAATACCCGGTAGTCCCTCTGGTTTTGTGTTGTACATTTTAATGTTCCCGGCCGACGCTCTCCCCCATTTTCAGTGTTACTATATTACCTCCTGACCGCATTTATTTTTGGCTGTGATTTTGATCCGGGTCATCTAAGAAAATTACCGTTGTTGTTATAGTGCCTCTGGCCGCGAGAAGGTGTATTATAGATTTAATTTTGTAATTATGCTTATGTTTATACTTCAGCGCTACATAAATCAACTTTGCGTTGCGTTTTCTAGATTCACAAATTTGTGATTCGATTTCCTCGGCTATACATTGCTTGATGATCTTCCTTCCTTTTGTTTGATCGGATAGTACTCACACCTTGTCACCCGTACAGAGATTATATAGGGCATCAGAAGACCACCTCTTACCACCAACCTCCTCGTAACTCCACCAAATCAGCTCTTTAGAAACCACTTTCAGTGTCACTAGACAGTGACCATCTCGTAATCAAATCCGAACTCTCCCTGATAAAATCTGCCAACCCCCGTTTCCTGGGATCACGTGACGTCACCATATCATCTGCTTCAAGCTCACCCGCCCTGTTGATGTCTCCCCAGTTGGAGAGTCTCAGCAACAAACGAATCCTCCATCGCAAGATCTCGAAAACCTGTCGGCAGGCCAAGCTGAGGAGACTTCGGAGACTGCTCCATTTTAATGGAGCTTGTAACTTGGAGTTGTTTCCCGATTACATGGACTATTTACACCGATTTGTCAGATGTCTCGATTACCGTGACGAAGACACTTATCGTTGTAAGATCATCTTTTTTTCAAAACCACACAAGCATGACAATTTGATAGCGTCCAGAAGCAAAAAATTGTTACAAAAAGCGAAATATCTGTGATTTCATGTGGTACCCTGGCTTTTAGGGATGCCGCGTTTTATCTTGCAACCGTTACCATTGGTTACAAATAAGTCATGATTTGAATTAAATGAGTGTCGTTATCTGGTAGTTACAACACTAATCGTCTCATCTAACACAAGGGATTCACTAAATAATAACTGGAGCAGCGCGATATTAATATTGATATTAAAGTATGGTCCCTCTGAAAGTGAAACACACAGCTTAATTTCATACCCGTTTATTTTCAGGTGTTGACAAGAAAGAAAACAACAGTAACAACCACCAAACGGAGGTTATTGACGAGAAGAAACCCGGTGATCAGACCAACAACAATCTCAACAACTCCGTTCCCCACGTTAATAACAACGTAGAAACAGCCCCGCCAGCCCAAATCACCCCGCCGCCGCCTCAGCTCGCCGCCGCCGCCTCGTCAGCTGTTGTACCTGTTGCTCCGGCTGCAGCTCCCCAGGTAAAACAGATCTTTATTTTTCTTTCAAACCTGTGCGGTAGAAATAATAAATCTCCTTGGGAGTTACGACTGTTAGTCCACTCACGTGCTCAATAAGGGGTCGTTTTATTGGCCCGAGGTAGGCCAAAAAGCAGAGCAAGTGTGAGCCAATATGTGCAGTTCCGTTGGGCAATGATTTAATTCGATTTACCAATCACCACGTACATTTAAAATTCCCATTCTCTAGACTTCAGCACAACTGGATCCTTTAATTTGATTAATGATTTAGATCTTTACACTTTCCACGTTACCGCGGACTCAGCATGCAAAATCTGCCCGTCGGCTTATTAAACTCATGACCTCCTTTCAATCTACTACCAGTCCTGGTTTCAGTGATTTGAATCGTGTTTTTTGGAGTGCATCAGAATTTCCGAAATAATGATTCCTCAATCTTGATCGTTTGACACGATGTACTGTGTAGTTTACACTATGCATTTCAATTTGCTTGCCATAAACTTTCGCAATGCTCTTCACTTTAACCGTTAACCGAAGCCAGACGAGTTCTCAAGATGTATGTCTATGTAATGACCACATGACTTTATATTAAAAATTTAACACGTTTTAACCTAAAAATCTGACACCTTATGCTTTTCAGGCTCCGCCCACCAGCCAAGCTAACCGTTTGGACCCCAACGAAATAATAGCCCAGCTCAAAGAGAGCCTGCGACAGGAGGAAGCGAAACTCCAGTTCTTGAGAAAGCTAAAACTCACTCAAGCGAAACTTAAGGAGCGCCAGGAACGGATAGCTGCACAGAATCAAGTAAGATTTAGGATTAGTTGGTATTCTCATTTTAATAGTCCGAACACCACAATTTTTATAATTATATTTATTTTACTACTCTAAGTGCGTTATTTTCCGGCTTTTGTTTCTTTTAGGATCAACCACGTTCCTCCTTCCTCGCTACTCCATCATTTACTAATTGATCCTATGTTACTTTGTAGGCTGTGGCATTAACTGTAGTGATATTGGTGACTAAATTATGGACTTGATTCTACAAAGACGTAGTTTGCCTTCCCCCGTCATATCCCGTGAACCCGTTGTCTGGAAATATCCCGGCACAGCTTTATCGACATTAAGAGCGTTGTTCAATTTGATTACTTATTGTAATTCATTTTAAATACCTTTTAACAAGAAAATGGGCAAAAATATCCCTTTTAAGTTTTTTAGCCCCTTTTTAGTACTTTTTCCCCAAAAAGAAAAGCTTTTTAAAAAAAGCTGTTTCAAAAGGAAAATAAGTTATTTAAGCTTTTCCAGAAAATTTTATTTTTGGGCCCAAGACAGAGGTTTTAAGTGTTTTTCAAGTAAAAAAGGTCCCTATTTTGGCTTTTTTCAAATTGAATAAATTTTCTGCCAGTAAAAAGAAAAATTTTTGGCCTTTTCCCCAATAAATAGGCAAGTTTTGTTTTCCCGGTTTAATTTTTTTGATGTCTTAATTTTTAAAATTTTAAAGTAAATGAGGTAAAATTTAGTTCCCAATCGTAAAGATTATTTTAGTTGGCCCCAGAAATTTTTAAAAAAATTTTTAAATGAGGAAATTTTTTAAGTAAGGCGGGGTTTAAATTAAAATGTTCAATTTAAGTGGGGTTTTAGGGTCTAGTCATATAAAAAAACTGTAAAATAAATAGAGATCCTTTTTTTGGTTAAAGGGTTGTTTCCAAATTAAGGGTTTTTTCCAATTTTAAAGAAAACGAATTTCATAATGAGTTCTATTTTTTTGCTGTTTAAAAAGTATGTTTTTCCCCAAAAAATTTTTACTGGTTTCAAAAGGGAAAATTTAAGGCCCAAAAAAAATTTTAAAAACCCTCGTAAATGGGGAACCATTTTTTAGAACCCTTTTCAATTTAACTACCTATGTTTTTTACTTTTCTTTAAATTTGGGTCTTTTTAAAAAGTAAGAAGGGTTTTTCCCCCAATTTTAAAAAAAAGTTATTAGTTTAGTTATTTTTTTAAAAGGGGGGGGGTGGGGGGCCAAAAATTTAAAATGATCAAAAATGTTTTAATGAATAACAAATTTTTTAGAAAAAGGTATAAAAGTTTTTTTAAAAAGCCCCCCCTTTTAAAATCAAAAATTTTAAATAGTCTATTAAGCGTTTAAGGGGTAAATTAAATCCCTTTTTTATTGGGTTTCAAAGAAAAAAAGAGCTAATTTTATAACCTTTTTAAAAAAATGGTCAAGAGGAGCTTTTTAAAAAAAATATTCAAAATTTAAAGTTTTTGGGCAATAATAAAGGTTTAAAATTTTTTGAGCTGTTCAAAAGTAAAATTTGGGGGGGCCCATGGGTTAAAGGCTTTTTTTTAAAAATTAGTCTTTTTTAGACCCCCTGTTTTTTCCAAAAATTAAAATCCCGTCAAAAAAATTTTGGGGGGTTTTTCAAAAGGGTAAAGGGGAGGCCCAAAATTTAGAGCTGTTCAAGAAATACCTTTTTAGTAGCTGTTTCAAGTAAATGAGGTCTATTTTAGTAGCTGTTTCAAGTAAATGAGGTCTATTTTAGTAGCTGTTTCAAGTAAATGAGGTCTATTTTAGTAGCTGTTTCAAGTAAATGAGGTCTATTTTAGTAGCTGTTTCAAGTAAATGAGGTCTATTTTAGTAGCTGTTTCAAGTAAATGAGGTCTATTTTAGTAGCTGTTTCAAGTAAATGAGGTCTATTTTAGTAGCTGTTTCAAGTAAATGAGGTCTATTTTAGTAGCTGTTTCAAGTAAATGAGGTCTATTTTAGTAGCTGTTTCAAGTAAATGAGGTCTATTTTAGTAGCTGTTTCAAGTAAATGAGGTCTATTTTAGTAGCTGTTTCAAGTAAATGAGGTCTATTTTAGTAGCTGTTTCAAGTAAATGAGGTCTATTTTAGTAGCTGTTTCAAGTAAATGAGGTCTATTTTAGTAGCTGTTTCAAGTAAATGAGGTCTATTTTAGTAGCTGTTTCAAGTAAATGAGGTCTATTTTAGTAGCTGTTTCAAGTAAATGAGGTCTATTTTAGTAGCTGTTTCAAGTAAATGAGGTCTATTTTAGTAGCTGTTTCAAGTAAATGAGGTCTATTTTAGTAGCTGTTTCAAGTAAATGAGGTCTATTTTAGTAGCTGTTTCAAGTAAATGAGGTCTATTTTAGTAGCTGTTTCAAGTAAATGAGGTCTATTTTAGTAGCTGTTTCAAGTAAATGAGGTCTATTTTAGTAGCTGTTTCAAGTAAATGAGGTCTATTTTAGTAGCTGTTTCAAGTAAATGAGGTCTATTTTAGTAGCTGTTTCAAGTAAATGAGGTCTATTTTAGTAGCTGTTTCAAGTAAATGAGGTCTATTTTAGTAGCTGTTTCAAGTAAATGAGGTCTATTTTAGTAGCTGTTTCAAGTAAATGAGGTCTATTTTAGTAGCTGTTTCAAGTAAATGAGGTCTATTTTAGTAGCTGTTTCAAGTAAATGAGGTCTATTTTAGTAGCTGTTTCAAGTAAATGAGGTCTATTTTAGTAGCTGTTTCAAGTAAATGAGGTCTATTTTAGTAGCTGTTTCAAGTAAATGAGGTCTATTTTAGTAGCTGTTTCAAGTAAATGAGGTCTATTTTAGTAGCTGTTTCAAGTAAATGAGGTCTATTTTAGTAGCTGTTTCAAGTAAATGAGGTCTATTTTAGTAGCTGTTTCAAGTAAATGAGGTCTATTTTAGTAGCTGTTTCAAGTAAATGAGGTCTATTTTAGTAGCTGTTTCAAGTAAATGAGGTCTATTTTAGTAGCTGTTTCAAGTAAATGAGGTCTATTTTAGTAGCTGTTTCAAGTAAATGAGGTCTATTTTAGTAGCTGTTTCAAGTAAATGAGGTCTATTTTAGTAGCTGTTTCAAGTAAATGAGGTCTATTTTAGTAGCTGTTTCAAGTAAATGAGGTCTATTTTAGTAGCTGTTTCAAGTAAATGAGGTCTATTTTAGTAGCTGTTTCAAGTAAATGAGGTCTATTTTAGTAGCTGTTTCAAGTAAATGAGGTCTATTTTAGTAGCTGTTTCAAGTAAATGAGGTCTATTTTAGTAGCTGTTTCAAGTAAATGAGGTCTATTTTAGTAGCTGTTTCAAGTAAATGAGGTCTATTTTAGTAGCTGTTTCAAGTAAATGAGGTCTATTTTAGTAGCTGTTTCAAGTAAATGAGGTCTATTTTAGTAGCTGTTTCAAGTAAATGAGGTCTATTTTAGTAGCTGTTTCAAGTAAATGAGGTCTATTTTAGTAGCTGTTTCAAGTAAATGAGGTCTATTTTAGTAGCTGTTTCAAGTAAATGAGGTCTATGTTTAGTAGCTGTTTCAAGTAAATGAGGTCTATGTTTAGTAGCTGTTTCAAGTAAATGAGGTCTATTTTAGTAGCTGTTTCAAGTAAATGAGGTCTATTTTAGTAGCTGTTTCAAGTAAATGAGGTCTATTTTAGTAGCTGTTTCAAGTAAATGAGGTCTATTTTAGTAGCTGTTTCAAGTAAATGAGGTCTATTTTAGTAGCTGTTTCAAGTAAATGAGGTCTATTTTAGTAGCTGTTTCAAGTAAATGAGGTCTATTTTAGTAGCTGTTTCAAGTAAATGAGGTCTATTTTAGTAGCTGTTTCAAGTAAATGAGGTCTATTTTAGTAGCTGTTTCAAGTAAATGAGGTCTATTTTAGTAGCTGTTTCAAGTAAATGAGGTCTATTTTAGTAGCTGTTTCAAGTAAATGAGGTCTATTTTAGTAGCTGTTTCAAGTAAATGAGGTCTATTTTAGTAGCTGTTTCAAGTAAATGAGGTCTATTTTAGTAGCTGTTTCAAGTAAATGAGGTCTATTTTAGTAGCTGTTTCAAGTAAATGAGGTCTATTTTAGTAGCTGTTTCAAGTAAATGAGGTCTATTTTAGTAGCTGTTTCAAGTAAATGAGGTCTATTTTAGTAGCTGTTTCAAGTAAATGAGGTCTATTTTAGTAGCTGTTTCAAGTAAATGAGGTCTATTTTAGTAGCTGTTTCAAGTAAATGAGGTCTATTTTAGTAGCTGTTTCAAGTAAATGAGGTCTATTTTAGTAGCTGTTTCAAGTAAATGAGGTCTATTTTAGTAGCTGTTTCAAGTAAATGAGGTCTATGTTTAGTAGCTGTTTCAAGTAAATGAGGTCTATTTTAGTAGCTGTTTCAAGTAAATGAGGTCTATTTTAGTAGCTGTTTCAAGTAAATGAGGTCTATTTTAGTAGCTGTTTCAAGTAAATGAGGTCTATTTTAGTAGCTGTTTCAAGTAAATGAGGTCTATGTTTAGTAGCTGTTTCAAGTAAATGAGGTCTATTTTAGTAGCTGTTTCAAGTAAATGAGGTCTATTTTAGTAGCTGTTTCAAGTAAATGAGGTCTATTTTAGTAGCTGTTTCAAGTAAATGAGGTCTATGTTTTAGTAGCTGTTTCAAGTAAATGAGGTCTATTTTAGTAGCTGTTTCAAGTAAATGAGGTCTATTTTAGTAGCTGTTTCAAGTAAATGAGGTCTATTTTAGTAGCTGTTTCAAGTAAATGAGGTCTATGTTTAGTAGCTGTTTCAAGTAAATGAGGTCTATGTTTTAGTAGCTGTTTCAAGTAAATGAGGTCTATGACGTAACAGCAAGATAGTCTGGTGAGCAAGAGACATCTCCACGGCCTAATGTAGTTCTAAGGTAGTGCAGCACAGCTCCAGTCATGTGCCAGTTAACTCTCTCTCTCTTGTCTTTCAAAACTTCTCAATCCCCTGTCTCTCCCTTGTTTTACACTACTTTTAAAATACGTATTGTGTCACTTTCTGGGCACTTTATTGTTGGGCGGCAACTGCCTTTTGTTT